TTTTTTTATTCTATAATTTCCAGTACCCACAACAAAACGACACATACCATTGTAAAGTACACACATTTTTCTATAAATCTCGTTATATATCATTTCTGTACGCCGTGGTGAGCCATGATCTACGCATTATTTTTTTTTGTAAAGAATAGATGCGAAAGTTTTGTTTGTCATTCGTCTTCGAAAATACAAAATGTCGCTTTTTAATTCGCCTTAGGAAAAGGTCGTCACTCTTGTATCTGATTGACTCTAAATTAATACCCTTCCTTTATAATTTTACCATCCTAATTCTATTGTCTATAACAGGAAGTATATAAATGTGTCAATTTTATAACAGTCTCAAGAAATTACAGAACGTTCCGTCTCCGAAATAGCCCGAATTACGGTAGCATCAATTTAGCCAATTTAGTCAATTAGCAATTTATTTACTATATCGCACTGCTATTACAAATAGTGTTGTAACTATGTGATATGATGTGACATGACATTTTCAAGATTATATCATTGTTGATAGTAAAATGCGATTCTCTACATGTCAATAAAACCATACCGTTGCCTTTACAATATTGTAAGAAACAATTTAAAGATATTTACGTAACTCAAAATGAGACAAACTCGTTTGAGCGTTCTGGTCAAAACATACAATAAACGATTTCGTTTAGCTAAGGTACTTGACGATTCTTTAAGGGGGAACTGTATACGTTTCTACCATTTTTACAATAAGATTCCGAAACATATATTAAGATTAACATTTCCTATAAGCTTAAAACTTACATTAAAAGTATGTTCATTACAAAGCCGTATTACAAAATTGAAGAATATGTGTTAGATAACGATGGAAAGATAACATGAGTCTAGATCCCACACAATAAAATATGATTCAAAGTGTATTATTCCATTTAAGTTTATTTGAAAAGAGCAATCCCTACCCGTTCTTCTTAGGGAGGTTGGCGCAGTGAACGAAATTTTACCTATGGAATAAATGATTATTTGACTTTGATACAGTTCTTACTCAAAAATATGAAATTATTTAATCTCTTTTATTTTAAATATAAAAGTAGAAAATTGTTTAGATGTCTGTAATAAACTTCAACCTATACATAAATTTTAACGATTTTTCATAGAAAGTGAGTATTCGTTTTCCATCGATTCTGAAAAGATACAATTTTCGACTTAATACACTATCATCAACAGTGCGATATTATGTCGAATTGTGTGTTGGATAACTCCCAGCCGCTTTATAAAACAGCTGTTCGATATAACATATCTATATTAGAATGAAATGTATTCAAACTCTGATCACAATTTATTCACTAAAGTAGGGCTTTGGCATTCCCGTAGGTAGGTTTGCTTTTCATTTTTATAGGCAAAGCCTATAATTTGACCTTTGACCTTTAATGAAATGCAAACCGTTCTTTTCGAGGTAGAGGCAATTGTAAATTCACGAACGCTCACTTATATTACGGAGAGTACGGAAAACCTACAGCTTCTCTGTCCAGCTTCTTTTTTGTTATTTCCGAAGTCACCACAAAAACATGTTATGGTTAGGATAGGCGATGTCGTTCTTGCTGAACTTAACCATAAAAAGCGTGTAGAGTGGCGTCTCAGATTGGTGACAGAAGTGTTGGACGGCGTTGACGGTCACAACAGAGTTGCTCGAGTAAAGACCGCAACTGGTCAACGCCTTCGAGCTGTGCGATCTTTGTACAGCCTCGAGCTGCCCTGTGCAGATGTATCCGCGTTGATAAAAGAGAGCAATACATGCCCATCAGAAGAGTACCGTTAAAATCAAACATTCCCTTACCAGGGTCACACGTTCGGGTCGTCTGGTGAAAGTGCCAGAAAAGTTTGATGTTTAATATTATTGTTTAAGTGGATTATTAAGTAGTTAGAAATGTGTTTTTAGTTATAATTATGGCGATTGGTTTCTAGCGTCATGCTGTGGAGGATGTTACAATCTCTTAGGGATATATATATATAGATATTGATCTATGAATGTTATTAACCGACTTCAAAAAAAGTAGGAGGTTCTCAATTCGACTGTATTTTTTTTGTATGTATGGATGTTACGCGATAACTCCGGTATTTGTGAACCGATTTTCATGATTCTTTTTTGTTGGAAAGGGGGTACTTCCATAGTGGTCCCATTTCATTTTGAAGAAAATCATCCACCTCTAAGGGTCACGTATGAACATTAATTTTTATAATTAGCGCCTAAGTTTTACTTAAGGAGCAATTATTTTAATGGTTGGTTTTGCTATTCTCCGATTCAAGGCGTTTTTCTCTCAATTTACTTTGAGTAGTGAGAACCGATTTTTATTATCTTCTGTATCAAGTCCTGTATAGTGGCGAACTAGGCGATATTTCAATAAAATTTGGAAAATAGATATAATTCCACGTACTTTTGAGGTCGGTTTTTTTAGTACTCTGTACTGAGATTATTTTTAATTTTAAATATTTCGTCTTTTGTTATTGTGTCAATAAAATTTTTCATGGACGTATAAGGAAGGAAAATGCGTAATTATTTTTCTTCCTAACATTCCTTTAAGATCCTTTTACAATAGTTATTATGTGATTATTATAGTATTTTTGTTATTATCAATAGGTTATCTGACTTATGACATGATACACTACTACGTGCACCACGGCTCGCCGAAGGACGGCACGTATCTCTACGCGATGAAGCGGTACCATTCCAATCATCATTTTGTTAATTATGACAAAGGTGAGTACATAGATAAATCAGCGACTGATTCTTTAATCTGTTTGTCCACATCACTTAATTGTATTGTCTATTACTTTATAAGTATTGTGAAAACTAAGTTTTGTGGAGAGATTAATGTCTTTTTAATTTATTTTAATTATTTAAGTGGCAATGTTATATGCTTCTATAATAAGATTCCGGTTGATATTCAAAATTTGCTATTCACGACGTATAGAGCTATAGTGAAACAAAAACTTTATACTAACGATTATTATACAGCTTGTGCGTACTTTATCATCAACCCATTTATACGTCTCACTTCTAGGCACTTCTCAGGCGAGGGTTTTGGGCATCGATTATATAACCAGAAATAGAAACGAAATGTCATTTAATTTGTAATCTTTTCTGCCGAATCATTACAGTGATAACTGCGCTCAGATTGGCCAGCCCGAATTCGAAATATTTGACGGGATTTCGACTTTGAGTTGCACTTATGTCTATTTTAAATATAACTTACTTTGAACTGAATTCTGTAGATTGAATTTTCGTCACAATAGAGGTAACAGTTTACACGATCTATGACAACATTTGCAATGATGACTTGCAAATTGCTGTAGTACCTGATTAGGGTGGTCTAACCTTGGTGTTTACGAGTCTAATAAACAGATATGTGTGTAATACGAGTATGATAACGAGTTACAGTGCTTATTTTCTCAATGTCTCTCGGCAATCATCAGATTTCCGAATGCTCACGAATATGAATTTCTATGCCTATTAATTAAATCTATAATCATTTAAATTTTGAAGAACGTTACTTTATTGTTGTTTTGTTTTTATTTCAGAGTTAACTGTATAGAGCTGTAAAACTATTTTCCTATTTTAATAACAGTTACTCCATGTCAATAAACAAGTTAACAAAAATATAAAGCAAATATAGCGTGCTTCTTTTATATAAGTAAAAATGAATATTTTTCCAGTTATTAATCATTTCTGTTCAGTCCGTATCGGAACGCATTTCTTCATCTAACAAAGCTATGTTAGTATGTTCGCCATAGATGGAATAATCACTTTCCGCGCTGGTCGAACAGGTATTTTATCGTATTCTTTTAAAATATACTTTACTGTTCCGATTGACATACCACAAGCTACACAAACACGTTTTTGGACTTTTTGAAAATAACCATTGTTGTCTTTCTTGAACGTATCGGTTTCTTGTAAAAAATACAAGTACTCGCAGTAAGTCATCTGTCGTGCATGTGAATTTAGCGGCTTTCCTCTCGTTGTAAAATGAGACGCCCACCGTGCCCTGGTCTTGCCCGTAGATTAAAAGTACAACATATAACAACAACGTTAATAGCCCATTATATATATACATTTTTCACTACTGGGCACAGACAGGGTTAAAACCACGGTCCGACACATTTATTATTCAAATTTCACTTTTAGAAAATTGCTGGCCTCAAAAAAGGGAATATGAGTACCAGAGAAACAGAAGTGCCCCTTTCCAGAATACCCAGACCAGAACCAATTTTGAAATGTTCATTTCCTAAATTGGTTCTACCGGGAATCGAACCCGTGATACAGTGTAAGGGATTATTCACATTAGACCATGCCGGTGTTGCATGCGTGAACGTGCCGCAAGTTTACATTAGACCGAGGCACTACGCGCAGTACCTACGGCACCCCCCGGCACGGCAAACGGAGTAATTACGTAACCTAAAAACCAAAAAATCCTTGAACAAGGAGTAGTGGTAGTTTTTATCATTTGGTAAACTTATCAAATTAGGTTAAAAAAAAACATTTTCGCTTTCATGTCGTTCCGCGGCATTGTAAATTGATTCATAGGCTCGACTCACACTGGCGCGAGTCGAAACGTCGCGACACGTCATGTTTTTCGCTTATAGCATATTTATCTCTATTTTTCCATTATTAAGGTACAAATTTGTGTTATGCAAATATGAAAACGCGCGTGGACGCTGGATTGAAATCGAGCGGTAATTTCGGCCCAGTGAGGCGTCAGACGCCGATCATACTGTGATCCGGGCGCCAGTGTGAGTTGAGTCTTAGATCTATACGTACGAAGTATATTAACATTATAAGTTTTATTTACGATATTTTCCTTCATTGAAAATGAGTAATTATTGATCATGATTATGAGTGCTATAAGTCTTCGGAATGCTCAGACGTAAGGAAAATGCCATTCCATCACTGGTTAGCGTTTTCCCTAAGACGTTGTAGTGGGGTTTTCTTCATTACTAGGAAATTAACTTATGCCTGGCTCACACTGCCTTCATCTATGTTGATTTAAAATTATATACATTATATCTCTGTGTATTTACGTTTCAAGAACTTATAAGGAAATATGTTATTTAATTCTTAAACAGATAGTAATTTTAGTTGAAATATATGTAGATTCTCCTAAGAAGAACAAGCAAGATTATTTAAAAGTTTTTTTTATGATGTCAAGTGACGGGACGAATAAATCCTGCGCCTGGTGGCAAGCGAGACGCCTGTCCATAACAGTTGCAGTGCCACTCTGAGGTGCAGTGCCACTGCGCCCGTCACCCTGAGACCCGGAACGCAGAAATGCTCACATTTCGGCGACAGAAATAGATAAGGTGGCAGTACTTCCCTGGACGAACTCTTTCACAAGGAGCTCTACTACTAATTCAAGATCATGTTCATTATTAAATATTCATCCTATTTTTCTTTATATATTTTTTTTATTTATTTATGTTCAGGTTAATGTCAGGCTATGTTAGGTAAGGGTGCATTGATTCGACACGAATTTCGTCGCGATGAGGCCGCGCGGCCGCCGCCATTTTGCCAAAACACGCTTTATTTTGCTTTTACGTTTTAACTTAAATGAGAGCGTCACGGTCGCGGGGGCGACGCTGGCTTGTCTTTATCTATAAGGCACTGCCATCGCGCCCGTCACCCTAGAGACATAACCCAAGGAGCACACTTTATACGCCTCAAAACTATTATATCTATAAACAGTCTTAATATGGTATATATAGGTTAGATAATAGTTCTCTATAAATAGTTTTAGGAAAAAAAAGAAATTGTTTTTATAGACTTATTTCATTCATTCATTTCTTATTTCATTCGGATACGTATACAGGTTGTCATAAATAGTACGCCTGTCTAATTTACGTAATTGTCTATACATCAACCTACTCGCGTTTTGTACGGGAAAAAATTGGGTATCTCCTTTATGTATCCGTAGCCTTCAATAGCTGTGCAATAGACCCGTTTAACACGTTTGTTTTATCTTTAATTTATATTGTTTTTTTTTATGTATTTCATATCAACTAACATAACACACACCGACGAAAACTACTACTTGATAAGTACTTAGTTGTAAACATTTCGTATTTTAGTCCTACGGGACATGAACAGGCTAAGGCGCCTAAGGACAGTTACACACGGCGACGTTGAGCAGCGATACAAACGTGCGTTTGTAAGATGCGCGATTACATCGCAATAATTGCGGTTTATAGGCGGTTGTATCTTACAACTCGTAAAGGAAATTCTTATCCTAAAGTAAACACAACTTAATATCTGGCATCTTGTCTTATAATGTAATAATAATAATAGTTAGCCTATATAATATAGCCCCACTGCTGGGCACACGCCTCCTCCTACAGTATGAGAGTTTGCAATGCAAACGCATGGCACTTGCAGTCGCTTATGTTGAATCATTAAGACACCGCACAAACGTGTGTCTTGTGTTGGATACAAGCAACCGGCAACTACAAGCGAATATTCTATTTTCATATAAATTGCGATTGCATCAACCGGCAACGATGTCCGAGTACCGTAACCCGCGAGTGTGTCCGGTTGCTTGTATCCAACAGAAGACACACGTTTGTGCGGCGCCTAAAAACGTACGTCGCGATTGCATCGCCGCTTAAGTCGCGCGTGTGTGTAAAGGTAGGCGATAAACGACTGCACCGCTAGTGCATCGCGACTGAATCGCTCTAGATACGCTGCTAAAAGTCGCAGGGCCGTATTCTCGAACTCTACTCAATGCTCAAGTCAGGATTTGAGTATGGTTTAAAGCACTCGAAATCATACACAAGTGGCTAATGGCAGGGCCATTAGGGTCGTATTTCCAGTACTTGTGTTTCCAGTGCAATCCTGACTTGAGCATTGAGTAGAGTTCTAGAATACGACCCGCAGTGTGTATCCGCTCTAAGCCATACTGCCGGATTAGAATTTTTATATTTTCAATAATTTCAAGAAACTACTCAGATGTACTTCCCAGAACACCTAGGCCAAAACGAATTTAGAAAAGTCCATTTCCTAAATTGATCCTTCCGGGAATCGAACCCGTAACCTTCTCATCCAGTGCCCACGGCGCAAACCGTTGGCCATCGAGGACGTCAAAATGTCTTATTAATATTGGCTTATATTACATACTTAATAAGCGTAATTAACTGTTATATAATTCCATTAATGAAGGTCCAATTACAAAAGCGCACCTAATCACATTCTGTCAGACATCGAATGATAAATACAGACACCTCATCAAAATACAAAACAAACAGGCCACTGTTATTTTAAACTTACCAAAGTTTACAAAGTTATTTTCTATTTAAGTGCCCATTACGTAAAGTAGGTCAGTGTACAACTTAATTAACTAAGTAAGTTATAAATAACTTCCTTTTTTAATAATTGTCACGTCATGGATAAAGTTAGCCAATTAGCAATGGTAATTTTGATTTAAGGTAATGCATTACTATAGTAGCTTTTAGGGCCTGTTCACATGACAAGCTTTAAAAAACGCTAATCAGCACGGATAAACTTTCGTGTAGCTGTAATTTATTTCATCATCATCATCATCATTTTAGCCAAAAGACGTCCACTGCTAAACATAGGCCTCCCCCAAAAAATGTCACAATGACCTATCCTGCGCCGCTTGCATCCCGCGTATTCCTGCAGCCTTCACCTGATCATCAGTCCACCATGTGGGTGGTCTACCCGCACTTCGCTTTCCGATACGCGGTCGCCACTCGAGAACTCTTCGGTCTTACTTAAACTTAAGTATTGCCACTTAAGTTTTGCAATTCTTAGGGCTGTGTCGGTTGCTCTGGTTCCCTTGCGGATATCCCCATTACGGATTCGATCTGCAACGAAACTCCGAGCATGGCCCTTTCCATGGCCCTTTGAGTGACCTTGAGCCTGTGCCGTGAGTCATCACTGGCAACACACGCTGGTCGAAGACTTTGTCTTAAGACACTGTGGTATTTTGAACAATATATGGCGTAATTTTCCGAACGCTGCCTAGACGAGTCGAATCCGACGATTGACATCTATAAATTAATATTTATAATATATAAAGAAATTCTAGTAATTTATTTATTTTCGTTTATTTATTTATTCAGGATATTCCACATAGAAAACACTACACCTTCAATAAATATTGAACATAATAGCTTTAAACTAAGTGCTTCTACACTTACGGAACATCACAAGCATGTAATGATTACAATATGCCTACAATGACATATTATAAGTCAATGCATATTATTAAGAAATTAGTAAAATATTATATTGTTTTTGGACATTATGTAAACCAATAACTAAACAAACTACATCTAAAATAAATTGAATAAGTTCAAAATTAAAAAAGCTTCAAAAAATTTAAAAATAATATTTTATATATCTATAACTTCTAACTAACTAACTATCTATAACAACTGCCTCCGTGACCGAACGGTTACCATGCCGAACTGCGATGCAGAGGTCCCAGGTTCGATTCCCGGGTCGGGACAAATATTTGTATGGCCTACATTTATTTCTCTCGGGAGTTTGGGTGTAATTTGTAGTTGTCTATGTGTGTGTCCATGGCACCCGCGACACAGGGTTTCTCTAGTGCGGGGCTATGTTGAGTGTGTGCGTTATTAATTGTTATAACTTCAGAGAAATTACAACGTACAAAAAATTTATACTTAAAAAATAATACTGTAATTATTTATTCAAAATATGTAATCGCGTTTTATCGTTTCTTATTTTATTACTTTTCGGCTTAATAATATTCTATTTTTAAACGACTTCAGAAAAGGAGGAGGTTTCAATTCTTTTTAATTTTTCATTACTCCTACCTAAATTAACCAATTTCGATGATTCTTTTTTTGTTGGAAAGGGCGTACCTCGGTAGTAGTACCATTCAAATTTGAAAAACAATATAATAAAAATAAAAATAATGAATAATTAGAAGAAAATATTCCACTTCTAAGGGTGGTAAAATGGAGATGAATCTGGTTTATTGAATTTAACCCACACTCCGTTAACCGAATTCAATAGATTTTGGCACATAGATGTAATTTCAATGAAAATATAGTACAACCAAAATGGATAAGCAAACTTTAGAAAGAAAAAAAAGAAGAATTGATATTGATTTTTTTTTAATATCAAGTGACGTAGTGCACCTGATGGTAAGGTACACGCCCGTCCATAACAGTTACAGTGCCACTCAGAGCTTTAAATCGTAAAGATCTGAGGGGCACTGCCGCGCCGCCCGTCCACTTGAGGCATAAGTCGACAAGTTAAATTTTGAACCTCGTAAACGGCAAATTTTGAATACCAGCAGGAATCTAATTATGGAAGCGTATTGCCCATTAAATGAATTTGTGATTTTGTGAAAACGACTGTCAAGAACAGCCGGTTTATTTTTTATTGAAAAAATATAATCAAAATTATTTTATTATAAAAAGTTTCCATTAAGGGCGGGTAGATTTTGACAATTCTTATCGGCCATGTTATAGAAGCTGCTTTTGTCACATCTGTTGTTTATTTTTCAGTCACTCATCATGGCAAGTTGCAGCGTCGAGCAACACGTGCAAATGTTTAAAATTTATTACCAAAATGAGTGTTCTATTATGGCATCGATGTGCGCCACGCGTTGCAACCATTTGACGTTTTACGTGTTCGTTCTTCTCAGTCGACTATTCAACGTTTGGTGGCCAAATTCGAGTCGACCGGTTCAGTGGACGATCAGCTCGTTGGTCAACGAAACGCAAAATCTGTCGAAAACATCGCCGCTGTTCGTAAGAGTGTTCAGGGGAACCCAAAGCAGTTTACTACTACGCGCACATGGTTGCCACAATAGAACACCCATTTCGATGATAAATTATTGTTGTTATTTGCACGTATCGCTTGACGCTGAAGCTTGCCATGACGATTTGTCTTTAGCATCTAAAAAGTAAACAACAGATTTGACAAAAACATCCTCAACAACATGGCCGCTATGAAAAATCTACCCGCCCTAATTGGAAAACATTGTACATTTCACTTGATAATAGAAGAAAATCTTATGCAATGGCTTGTTATGGTTAATAACAGGCTCAATTTGCATTACTGCTGAAAGCAAGCGAATTTTTGTAATGATATTGTACAAAGCATAAAGAAATTTACGTCAATTGTCTAACGTACAAAGTAGATACGATACAATAGCTGCGGGAATTTCCAAAACTGTGTCAGAATTCTCCGGAAGACGTGCGACCTGTTTTTTTGGTATGTAACACAATTGACATTATGCCATGGTTCTAAAAATTCGCTTACATTCCGCTATGTAAACTAAGCCTACGAATTAACAGACATATGACGATGCGACATCTATTCATCGTCATCCCATCTTGTCATCACCCTTTTCTCCGGTTCCTGGCCACTTACTTTTTAAATTTTGAATTTTTTTGCAATTCTTTTTCTTCGCTATCTTTAATTCTTTTTCTACGCCATTCTTACTTTGCTTCGTTCCATCGTCACTCAATTCAAAATTCTCGAGGGGCGTAAACGCGCTCTTAATCATGTAACCTAACTGCTAACAAGCAACAATAATACGATTACAGACCCTTTTGGGGTAATTTCACTAAACAATTATAACAAAGTAATAAATTCTAATCTGTTGGGAGTGTTTTATATTATTGTATTTTTTTATAACTTTTTATTTAATTAAATGGACTTGCTTTTGACCACTACCTAGTTCTGGAACAAAGATAGGATCTACGATGGAACGAGCTCGCCCAGAAGATGCCTATGCAGTCGCACCGTAAAGATACTCGGGTTGTATAAGTTTGGAAACAGTCGCAGGCAGGGAATTCCATTCCTGGGCTGTGCGCATAATAAAAGATGATGAAAAGCGCCTATAGGCTTAAAAGGAATATCGACCAAGTAAGGATGATATCCCGCCGTACGTCTGGATGCTGATGGAGCTCATGGGCGCAGTCACCGTAATATATTCTGTAGAAAACCGACAAACGGACAACTTTGCGCCGATGGGCTAAACTATGAAGTTTAGTTTCGAGCTTATCGTCGCCCATAAGTCTCATGGTTTTGCGCTCAATCGAATCACGAACCTCAAGTTGATAATTCTCTGAGCCATCCCACAGGTCACTGCAGTACTCCATACCTAACTGTTTCGGTTACAGCCTGTCCTTCCTTTCTTCTTCCCTTCACCTTTTCCCTGTTATACTTCTACAATAAATTCATGTGGATCGAGCGTTACTTACTTTCATTACTCTACGCGAGACCCGCGTGACAAACATATACATACCCCTACAATTTTTTTCTTTTTAATAATTTGTAACGTGTTCTTTTTTCAGCTTACGGAATCAGCAGTAAAATATGGGACCACGTATTCAAGACTGTAGTACAAGTAAGAACACTAGGCTTTAGTTTACACTGGTGATTAGTAAACAATTTATTAAGTATAAATCACACTTATTATCCCACGAACATTCGATGTTGTAGGCACTATTTTGTAAAGAATAAACTTCGGGCTATCGGGTCTTACAATTATAAGTTTACTCTAACAGTTTCAAGGGGCCGGAATGCTTGTGGTTCTTATGACCAGAACGGCTTGGACATTTCCGACGTTGACCACCAGTTGACAGCTTTTAAGCAGCACATAAGACTCGCAAATTACAATAATCTTATATATTCTTAGTTAATTTGTATGTACCAAAAGCAGTGACAGCCAAACGCATAGAGCTACATGCTATGGTGCAGCCCAAATTACATAAGTCAAACGCATAATGTTGTTCAAGTCATGTGTCTACAATTGCCAAATCAGGTGGCGCAGGTCAATTCACACGATCATGTGGTGCGTATCAAATGTCATGATTGAAAACGCCAAATCACATGGTGCGTATCAATTTTTATGATCAAAACATGTCAAATTTCAAAACGGGGGTCAAAATACAAGATAAAAACTGCCAAACCACATTGTGCAAATGAAGTCTCATGATCTAAAATGCGAAATCATATGGTGCGTATCAAATGTCATGATCGAAAACGCCAAATCACATGGCGCGTATCAAATCTTATGATCAAAACATGCCAAATTCCATAGCGCAGGTCAAATCTCTTGATCAAGAATCCCAAATTAACTGGCGGGGGTCAAATCTCATGACCAGAAATGCCAATTTTCCCGCTTTTTATTATGTTAAAGTTTGTGATATTATATTTCTTTATTTCTAAGTAACAGGCAAGGGCCTACCAAAGTTGATCGTTTGTTAATAATTTATAACATAAAAAAATAGTCGTATTATAAGAATAAAAAATTGCCGTGTATCATACAGGGTCTAGAGCATGTTAAGCTTGATAACTATAATTTAAATTCGACTTTATACCCCTTGCATTAAGAACGGTTCGAAGTCCAAAATATCGACCTTAATGTGCTCTCACTGTAATGAAATAAGTGTCAGATAATCATACAAATTGGCTGGTCTCATAACTATATACTATGAGTATCGTATAAACGAAATAAATTTATTCTTATTTGTCTATAAAGATAAATTGAAAATATGTTTAATATTTTCAATTTATCTTTATAAATAATTTTGAAACATTTTCATGTGTTTACGAGATAATGTTATTTATACTGGATTATTATTTTTAATATTTCAGGTAGGGAGTTATCACTCTAATTAACGCGGAATAGAGCCGGTCAGAAAAAATCCATTCGATAAGAGCGAAAGAGACGTGCGTTTCGCATCGAGATCTGAGTCATAAAGGTTCCCAAATTTTTGCTTCCGAGGCCCCTAGGACCTAGGACTCTTCAGCGCCCAGTGGGGAGCGGTAGGGACTACTTTAGGAACCTATGGTTTGAGCGGTAGGGACTATTTTAGGAACCTATGGTTTGAATGGAAGCGGGTCTCAAACCGTGTTAATAATTGTGGTGAATGAAAAATTAAACTGGAAATGTTTCAAAATTTTTTAAAAGACACAGTCTAAGTGTACCTACTGGCGTATGGATTCCAATCTTTATATTTAGAATTATTGATAGATGTAATCGGAATGATCTAAAAACTTGTGAATCTTTTCGTTTTCTTGAAATATCATTTAATACGAGTACAGAATGGCTTGTAGGGTACTGAGAAACTGCTTTTGTAGCATCTGAACCCGGGATCGGTTTACAGTTGCAACGGAACCCGAATGAGCCAACCCGGGATCGGTTTACAGTTGCAACGGAACCCGAATGAGCCCAAATGCGAGTATTATGTGATCCCGAGACTGGTTTGCTTGTCAAAAGTAATTAAATTTCGTATCTGGGTTCAGTTGCACCTCGAGAGATGACATTAAATTTCTGTCGTCTGAACCCGACTTAATTTTCCATAGATATTGGTACATTTTGTTGTCTTAAGGCAGTGAGCATAACTAAACGCTTATTTATTTTTGAAAAAATCAGTTCTATTCAAATGAATCTATTATTTCGGATCTAAATTGCGTATTGATAGTTTTTTTTTTCAAACAATCCACCTTCAGACTAGGCCTATTATAAAGAATATTAGGCCTAGCACGAGTTATCTTAAAAGTTACATTTGTGAGGCAAAATTTATATTTTAAATAAAAAATTCTAAAGTAAACGATATATATTTATATATACGCCTAAATCATAGAAAACAAAAACGAACTTTCTAGAAAAGTTTTATAAAATAATTGGTTGATTACATTTTGTTTGCGCCATCTTTGAGTTCGTTATCGTCTAATTTGGGTGCAAAATGAAAATTCTTACATATTACGTCAGATCGTCAAAATTTACGAAAAATGTAAGAAATGTAACCATATGGCAACACTTATTCACAATGCGCGAGATAATGATATATATGGTCACGCAGCTAACTATGAGATAATGGATATTAGATACTTTAATTTCCAACATGTTGTAATCACGAGATCTATGAACTCAGTATCAATTCACAAATATGGATCTCATTTTACAGAACTTTCTGTGACTTCACAATGGTGTCTATTTGTTTCGAGAAAACGAAACGACCTGCTTCCTATTAGATCAATGTAACAACGTTCACGTGAAGGTACAAAGTTTTATGAACATCACACATGAAAATATAGACTACGGTATTGGGGTAGAATTATCTCATTTTTCGGTCAGGCTGTGGATTTAATCATTATTGCATACTCTATCTCCAATTTGCCTTATTAAGAGTTCGTATGTATAGGAAGAGCATGGCAAGCTTGATGCTTGAGATTTGAATTCAACTCACACAAATGCCTCTCACAATAAGCACGGTCCAAAAACCAAAGAGTGAAGCCTGGTATGCTCTTGACTTGCAGTGGTTGTAACAGTTATATTGAATAGTGTTTGTGTTATTTATTTATTTACGTTTGTTTCGATTTTATTATAAGGGGAATGATATTCAATAAGAATTTTTTTGATTTTTTTTTTTATTAAATCAAATAATTTAACACTAAGCTACACGCCTGTCCAATTGCAATGTGCAATTGCAATTTGCAAGTGAAATTCCAAGTGCAATTGTTAATTGCAGTACCACTTAAATCACAAAGATCTGAGGGGCATTGCCACTGCACCCGTCATCCTCAGACGTAAGTTGACAAGTCTCCAGTGCCTGTAATTTCACCAGCACCCTTGTTATGCTTATGAAATCATTTAAGTCGATCGTTAAAAAAATCCTGTAAATATGTACGCACCTTAAGAGTTACTACCTCACTCGAATTAAATTTTTTCCCGTATTTATACGTTTCATTTTGCTTGGGTCACGACAGGAATACTGGCTTTACTTCAAAATTTATTTTTTTACAAACGAAACTGAAGCCATTTCAAAAATATATATCGTGTACTATACGTGTTCTATTTAGTTCAGTTGGTATACTTAAAAGAAATAATTGGTATATGAAATAGTTATTTTTGATACAAGTGCGGAAAGTTAGTCATTATTCACGAGTCTCGAGGCTTCTTGGCCCGAGCCAGAGGCGAGGGTCAAGACGCGAGAAAAGTGAAAATGACAAATCCGCACGTGTATCAAACGACGTTTTTTAATACATTTGCGAAAAAACTACATTCAAAGTAAAATAAAACAGTAATTAAAAAAGTTAGTGAAAAAGGCGGGAAACGATGAAAAAAATTAGTACTTTTTTTGGCCGACTTTTTTCAATATGGCAACTGTTGCCAGTATTCAGCCACATTAAAATTACTATTTTATATTACTTTATTTTCTACATAATCGCTACTAAGGAGCATTTACTTCATAGGTGTAAAAATGCGGTATCTCCATAGATATAGTATAGTAATGACGAATGACTTACGTCACAGAGCACATACATATGAAATAAATATACAATCTATTTAGTTCTATGTTTAAGACTTAAAACAACAGTAAATTAAAAAAAAAACTGGAAAAGTAAAAAGCACTAGTGCGAGAAATCCAACTTTCCGCACGATTTTGTAGTGCGAAAAATACCACGTTTTGAGCAACTGTATTAAAAAGTATTTATTGAATACAGCGGTTTTCTTGTAAAATTTCGAGGTAAATTTGTTATTTTTTGTATAGCGAAAATTTTTAGGAATCTTGTTTTCACACCGCTTACTAATCAGTGCATATCTTCAATTAAACTATATATTTTCTCCAAAGTAATTGATTTAACACTTTCACTGATATACGGAATGAACCAAAGCCATTTGAGGTTGTATCGACAGAGATATTATGTTATGCGTAGAGGAAGGTTTTTGTTTTTTTTATTCAAAGTCGGATTTTTATACATTACATACTAATGAATGAAAATGATAGATATGATACTATAGATTGCACACTGACGCTATTGTTATTATAATGTAGGCAAGTTCAAGGAATTTTAATTGAAATTGCCACCAATTTGGATTCCAATTACTTTATCAGCGAAGACGACGGATTCAATTGTTCGATTGTTATAAACTTGCTGTCTTATTTATGTTACAATTTATTCAAGCATTCATGTCTGTGATTAAACGCGACTTGTGTACATTCTGGAAATAATGTTTAGCTTTATACTGCCTGTAATTACAATACGGACATGGTATGGATAAGATAATTTGAGGCGCATTGTGACATGTCGATGACGACGGATAAGAGCGTTTTTATCGGGTACGTTTCTGTAAATCACATTTGTGAATGTTAATTGCAGTACTAGTTACATAGAAGGAAAGAAGAAAGACAATCGTATCCTAGGTTTTTTTTTCTATCTCAGTGAACGTACGAGACTGAGGACGTTTATAGCAAAAGCCAACTTATAGTATGAACCATAATTAGATTTTTATTTTTTATTTTTTTTTATTATCTTCGGGTTAAGAATAGTAAAGTAATTGTGTTTATAATTGCATTTCAGAAAATACACAAATATAGTGAAACTAATTATAGTTTTATTAGTACCATAATGACAGTTAAAAAATAAAGTATAGTCCAAACAAGTGAATATACACACGCGTGGAATGTGTGAT